TGGACGACCGAGAATCCGTGAACGAGGAGGGCGACGACGGCGCCCAGAACTATTATCGTAGCTCTGCTAACGACGAAGAATCCCAGACATTCCTCGTTTCCAGTGCTCCCTCAGCTCCCATCAAGATCAGGGACTCATTGAACGACCGAGAATCCATGAGCGAGTATTTGCTGGACGACCGAGAATCCGTGAACGAGGAGGGCGACGACGGCGACCACAACTATTACCGTAGCCCTGCTAACGACGAAGAATCCCAGACACTCCTCATTTCCAGTGCTCCCTCAGCTCCCATCAAGATCAGGGACTCATTGAACGACCGAGAATCCATGAGCGAGTATTTGCTGGACGACCGAGAATCCACGAGCGAGGAGGGCGACGACGGCGACCACAACTATTATCCGTAGCCCTGCTAACGACGAAGAATCCCAGACACTCCTCATTTCCAGTGCTCCCTCAGCTCCCATCAAGATCAGGGACTCATTGAACGACCGAGAATCCATGAGCGAGTATTTGCTGGACGACCGAGAATCCACGAGCGAGGAGGGCGACGACGGCGACCACAACTATTACCGTAGCCCTGCTTACGACGAAGAATCCCAGATATTCCTCATTCCCAGTACCTCCCCAGGTTTCAGGGAGACCAACGACAACAACTACAACGATCCAGATTGGCGTCATGCTGCTGCTTATGACAACAGTGAAGATCACGGCGGTAGAGAAAACGAAGATTTCCGGATAACTATTAGCCCCAGTTCTACTTAACAATCCCAGCAAGAGCGAGGATTTTTTGAACGACGAAGAATCCCAGATATTCCTAATTCCCAGTATCTCCCCAGGTTTCAGGGAGACCAACGACTTCTCAAACGATCATGATCTCGAAAATGGGGAGGATCACAGCAACGATCGAAGCTATCATCATAGCCCTGCTGAAAATGACATTGAAATTGAAGGTATTTTTGACCCCCAATACTGCCTCAGCTCCCATCAAGATCAGGGACTCATTGAACGATCGAGAACTAAGGAACGACGAGGACCACAAATCTGCAAAAACTAGTAGCAAATTCCTGATGATCCTCATTTCTAGTAGACAACTTCAAATCCTGGCAAAAGAGAGGAAATGCTGAGTGGTCAAGGATCCTGGATCGAGAATAGCGGCCA